CTTAAAGCTTCAGCACACGTATACCCCAGTCAATTATAAGTGAATTTTATAAAAAAAGAGGAAATAGGATAAGAAAAAAAATATCCTAGGTTGAAAACTTGCAAAAGACTTATCTAATATTGGTAAATTATGGTCATAAAGAGGCATAAGGAGTATCGAAGCCCATGTTATAATTATGTCTGACAAGACAGATCAACATCCGAGAAACGGGTGAGCGATAGACTTACCTCCATGTGATGCACTCTGGGCAACGTATTCCCATACAGCAAAAAAGTCTATTAATCGGCAGTTGACTTCTCACTTCAAACTACTATCACCCCACTGTATGTTATATTCGACTACTTCCACAGTACTCACCTTACCTTTTTTCTACCTTTATGTGTCTCTTTTACGTCTTTGAAACACTATTCTCTTTCCTCCCCCTCCCCGTCTCGACTTTTCCCCTTCGATGTTCCTTCCCCTCTGTGAAGCTTGAAGTCAACTAAAGGGCTAATGATAACCATCAAAACACCTGCCATTTGGTATAAATAAATACATCCGAGAAACTATACAGAGGCAAGTCGTTAAAATAATTGAAAAAGAGGCATATTTTCAAAGAAAGGACTTGATACTTCTAAAGACTTCTAAAACCTAAACCATGAAGGAGAAATTATTCCATTGAGAAATCTATCTTTTTGGTTTCTCTCTCCCAAATTTGATTGAATTTCAACACTTTCGAAACAACCTTTTTTTGAAAAAACCTTGCTATCAACTGTCAAAATTCATCCGAGCTCCACCACACGCACAAAAACGTCAGGGCGTAACCTGTTTGCTCGTCAAATTACAGGCCATATGTTTTTTTACGGACAAAACTAGGAAGGCCCTTGAAGTAATCAATTAGCGCGAAAAAAAACGCGATTAAGTGGATAGACTCCACTAGAACGATTACAAAAAAAAGAAAAAAGCAAAAATTGTTCATTATAAAAATGGGAAGCAAAAAAATGAGGACATGGTCCTCCTGAAACAAATAGTTCTGTCCAGATGAATTGGCGAAGCAAATGACCTCAAAAATGAAGTTAGTAGAAAAGGTGAGCAATTGTGGAAATTGGGTAATACCGTCCTCAAAAAAGAAAGCAGATACAAGGCTACCCACATTGTCGTTTACTTATCGAAAAATTACAAGAAAATGGAGGGCTATTTCGTAAACTAAAACAAAAGAGATATTACCTTCTTCAGGGTTGCTGATAGAGATTTCAACTTGAGAGCTAACCAGATCAAAGAAAACTTAGAATGAAATAAATTACTTCTCTTCTAAAGTGCGTGAAAGTGTGCACTTAGTTGCAAGGTCCAATGATTTGGATAACCATCTTTACTGGCTAGTTTTGTCAACAAAATGGGACTTGTTTTTATCCACCAATTGGTTCAAAATGCCTACCTATTTTCCAATACCACGTTGCATTAAGTGGGTAACTAAAATGACCGTTTTGGGAAATCCAAAAAAAAACAAAAACTAACAGCTTCTCCGGTTATGAGGCAAAAAAAACAAAGAACTGAAACACGGAAAACAAAGACGAGGAAAAAGCCACAATGAGGCGCCAAGAAAAAGGGAACTTGGAGAGCAAAGGCTAAGGAAACATTCCGAATAGCTCCACTCAAATGAGGACTTACAACATCGACTGATGACCCTGAAGTAATCCATCTCCTCAAGCAGAAGTAAAGAAGCTGGCTACCAACCAACAAAATCAGGCAGTAATACGGCTACAAAGAAAAATAGAAGACATATAGAAAAAAGTACAGTCTCAATCCAGAACTTTCCCTAGATACGAATCATAAGTGACTTATTCGCAAATTAAGGAAGGGAAGAATACCATCTAAACAAACTCGTTGGAAGAAAATTAGTGCTTTAAAATACCCCCCCCCTCCCCCAACAATAGCACTTTCCATGTATGCACAAAATAAGTTGAAGCTATGACAACGAGGAAAAATCGATTTTTAATTAGGAAGTACTAAACATATGAACCGCTTTTGGTACTATAAGGTTTATCAAATAGAAGATTCGCAGAAGAGTTTTCTGTATTTTTAAGACTGGAGTTGTTCGTAATTATTTGATCAGAAGATCTAAGTCACGTGAACAAGAAGAAAGAGAAATTAAATTTAAAAAATTCGGAAAAGTAAATTTTGGATCCAAAAGTGGAATCTTTCTAGATTCTTCCAAGTTAAACGTAAATCGTATATCAAATATAGGATTAATGGCAAATGGAAAGAAATTTCCTAAATTTCTGACATCGAATCATCCTAGGTTTCTTTATTCCCACATCTCCAACCCCAAGTTTTTATCTTTGACCCAATCGATAAGTGATAATTTTAACGAAAATAAGGTAAAATTGAAGCGAATATGAAGCAGAGATTACTATACAAATAAAGAGATATTTTGTATTTCATATTTACGAATTCAAGCAGACTCCAAGCTGTTGTTGAGATGCAAGCAATACGAAATTTCAGTTGTACTGGAAAATTAATTCAAAAGATAACGACAACTGTCCTTCCAAGCTAAGATTTCCACATCTCAGCGCATGACAACTGCAAGCAAATCGTCGTATTTACATCTGTCAAAGCAAAATTACGCATTAAGTTCTAATGACCAAAGTACCATTAACGGCCGCCTCGTTATTGGTTTGATTTAACTTGATTGAAATAAATTCTGTTTAAATCTATTATTTTTTGACATTTATTCAATTCTAATTAACGTTAGAGTGAACAAACAACTCCAAAGCAAACACTCATTTTGGAGCACCTAAACTGGGGAATCATGCAGAACCTCGCGATAATTCCATGGAGTGCGCACCAAATTGAATTAAAATTTGACGATAATGATTGCGATTTTACATGTTAACCATTTACTTCAAGTGCCATATTAATGAAATCGAATTGAGAAAGGTTTAAAAAAATAACACTTAGATAATCATAGAGAGGACAAGTGAAATAATGACATTGTCGACATTGTAACGTGGTTAAATTGGGATAAAGTATTGGGTGAATAAAAGAAATGTTTTTTTCTAAACGACAACGCTTAATATATGAAAAGTGGTCAATCAGGAGTCTTTTACGTCTTAACAAGATTGGCAACCACGCACACACACAAACACAAAGAAGTAAAAAACAGTGATTTTGTTTATTTAAGTTCAAGCTTGTTTGCGTCTGTGTTGCGACAGAGAATTGGCTTCTCTTATATTTTTTGTAAGGGCTTCAGTGAAAATGACTTTGTGTGTGTGTGAATACAAAAAGCTCACTTGGCAGCTACAAGGATAGTTAGTCGAATTTTAAGGACCTGGATTCAAAAAAAGGTGAAACTGAGAGACAACTGCAAAATTTGCTCTTTCAAAAGATGGAGTTTTTAAACAAGCAGTTTTGAACGGCAGTAAAGGAGTTCTGAATCTAAAGCAGAAGTAGAAAATTTTCAATCGTTTAAATTTAGCCGACTTTGAATTCCCGTTCACTTTTCGTCTTTAACCCTTTTGAACTGGCTTGTAAAGTACAGGCGTAAACAAAGCTTTTGATAGACGACCTCTGATGTAAATTCAAACACACTGCCTTCACAACTGAGCCCCACAAGTGCAACAAACCGTAGAGATTCACTACCAAAAAACAGATCAACAGATATCTGCAATTTCAATAATAGAAGTGTGTTCACTCAAATGCATTAAACGTCTCTTCAACACCTTCCTCTTGGTTGACTGCAGAAAATATTAGGCCGAAATCTAAGGAGAAAACATTTATTTAAAAATAAAGGAAATGAGAAAATTTGCCTCAGTTGCAAGAGTTAGCTATTGGTTCAAATGTTCTACTTCCAATTTAGGATCTGTGTCCTAGTTAGTGGGACAAAACAACTGTTCATTAAATCGCACAATTATGGAACAGAAATATCACTCAAATAATCACGTGGTTGAGCGAAGAAACTCTATTTAAGTAAATTGCAGTTCTTCTACAAATTTCCTCCTTCTTCATTGGCTGAATGTGCATTAACTGCGAGAAGGTTGTTCAGGTCTACTGGTTGAAAGTTGGTTGAGCCAAATTCCAATAGGCCATTTGAGCATGGTCTTAAATTAGGTCAACAAAAAACGGATTAGATATCCACTATAAGTCTTCACAACACATAGATATTTATTAAGCACTCTTGTCTCATAAACGGGACACACGGAACATTTCGACGAATTTTATGAAAATAGTAACACTATCTCGCATTTAATCCATTTGAAAGTAACTTGGGAGAATACGACGAAAAAGAAAACTAATGCAGTGTTCTATTTAAATCTTGAATACTTTTTTTCACATCCACGTGCTAAGAAAGTGAAGGATAAAATTCCCAATCAGTGATCATCAGAACCATTCCACCTATTAATTTCACCACAATTTTATGAAATACATAAAGTCCACTTTTACACGTACGTAGAGAGACAGACACTCTTCCCTCGTCTATTCTACCCTCTTCCCGTTTATGATGTCTCGTATGTCAACATGAACTTAATCTCTGGTAAAAAAATTTGGTGATCCCCTTAGGATTCACCCAACAGATCAACTCTGACTTTCACCTTAACAATTATTGATCGATATATGCCAGCCATAATACAAAAGGTGCGTTCAAATTACAACAAATTGCACAAAAAAGTAGAGACGTAAAAGTAGCTTAAACTGTCCTCCAGAGCGCAACCACCACCACCACCCGTATTGCAAAGCTTTTCAAAAATATACGACTCAGCAAATGCATCTGTACAAAACGCAAAAGATATTGTTTTCTTCCAATTCAGTTTTGTATTCAAAGGAAATGATTTAAAGTTAGCTTGGTGCAAATTTCGTGCCTCTCACACATAAATGGTGGAAATATGGAAATCATGACACATACGTGTACAAAAAATCTGCATCGATTAATACGATAACAGTTAGAACACTTCAGAGAATATATATACTCCGTATTTAAGCAAAATACGTCGAATGAAGAATACTGGCCCCAACGTTAGATTAGACTAGTAGCTGACGGGGACCTAGTCATTATGGACAACAGACTTTGACACATTTTAATAAGACTTGAGTAGTGCGAGCAAGAAGGGAAACGTACCTGCTGAACATTTCCCATTTTGCCAGAAGATGCTATTCCACGAGAGGTATTATTTCCCGACTTTAAGGAATGAAAGAGATGATTCCGGGGAGTTGTATTAGTCCTTTCCGATGGACCTTCCTGATTATAACCTTCACTTGTAGCCTTTTTAAAGTGTATGAAACGCAAACGTTGACCTCCGCCTGCAGGAGCCCCGTGAACTGCGTCAGATGTAACAAACTGACTGCTTGAATCTGCAGCGCTGCTGGATGGAATACGAAACAATTGGAAAAACCTCTTCCGCCTCTGATTGGTTGGTGAATGGCGTGGCATAGTGGTACCCAGATTGGTCAGTTAGAGCTGAAACGCAGATCAACATGCTATTGGTTAAGATATCAAGGTTAAAAGTGGACAGCCAATGACGCGAAGGCCTTTATTCATTACATTGAGTGCTGCGCGGTCATCATTGGATGCGTTCCTGTGTGGCGTGTCTAGTCATAAGTTCGCTAACTACGTCATTTGTGTTTTTAAATTAAATTCCCGTTTGAGAAAATAATTGATATGAATTAACTTGAGTGATTTTACTAAGGTTTTAAAGCAATTTGTTTTATCCACCAGCAACTCATAAAAAAGGGTCTTTTAAGTATTAAAGAACCGTGGAAGTTAATGGTGTTAATATTTTCCAACATTAAATTAGAAAATTTTCATTTATCGTCAGCTATTAAAATGGTTCAGGTTAGTGCGAAGTAATCAAAACAAAAGAAAATTGGTTTGTTATACTCCAGTCAACACGTAGAACAAATTTAGTAGGGTTTGATAAATCCAGGAGATCTAGGTTTAACTTGTAAATTAGACATTGAATAAGAAGGGACGCTTGATTGATGCCAATTTCGCTATTATTCATTTAATTTCCTTTCTTGTGGACCAATCGTATAACAAAACTGGAGAAATAAGAGAGCTTAATTCATGTCGTGTCCGGAGCATGAGTCATCATCGATATATGGCTTAAGACGCTGCGAATTCCCAGGGCCCTCGGCCGTTGACAAACGCAGTTGATTATCGATTGGGTACAAATTTGACTTAATGACTTAATATACACGGTATTGGAGCTCCAATTAATCGCTAGTGTGAAAAAATTGTTCCTTGTCTTTAACTTCAAAGCAGAAATCAAACTGATAGGTAAATTGGCAACCTATATTTCAATTGCTACGGTAAATATTTGAATCCCAAATTTAATTAATATTTTATAGCGACCCCCAATTTCATCGACCATGATGTGCACAAAATATTCCGAATGGTTTTGCACTTTCGCAAGGTCAAGAAATACTTAATATTTTAGGAACCTCTTATATGGCGGGCAGGTATGAAAACCCATTCAACATAAAAAAGATTTCCAGTCTAAATGCCGCTCTTAAATTATGTCGAGCTGTTTAAGCATTGATAGGCTTAAATAGAAATACATAAGTTTGGCGCGTCATTCTGATCAACTTCCTTAGAGGACAGCTAAAGAGGAATAATCAATTAACTTTCTTTTAATAATTCCACGAATAGCAAGGATGGTCATCGAAAATGAAGGTTTTCCATATGAATATGACCTCCCTAATTTGACAGAGTACCGCAGTCAGGGTGTTGGTTTATTACTAAATGTATTTTTTTAACTGCCATATTTTATTACAATTTCGGAAGACACTGCTGTCACAGAGACAAATTACGAGTCATATGAAGTTGATTTTGTTAACACCCGTTTCATAAGGGTTCAAAATCGGACCTTGAATTTAAATGTGGCAGTTAGGCTTTTAAAAAGTTAAAACGAAAAATGTTTAATTATAATTCAATGATATGTAGAAGATAGGGTGCTCATAGATATTTACAATTAAATTTGATGGGATGCATTTTGTAATTCAAAGGGGGTTGGCAATATGACTACTTTGAATGATATTTTCAAGCAACTATCATGTAAACGAAATACAAGGTATTAAGAGAAACAAACGAAGACATTTTACAAGATCCTAAATAAGACCAAACGATGTCATTATGTCATTATTTCGACATTTAAAATAGCATAGGTCATTCGTTTATTTGGAAAAGTTACCATAACATCAAAAACATCTAACAGTAAAATTACTACTGTTTAATATTTAAGGTAACAATTTTTAAAATTTTCTTGATTACGGAAAGAGGAAAAGACCAATAATGGCTAATCAGTAAAACTCTAATGAGAACCAAAATAGAAAACCTATTAGCCTAAATAATAACAACCAGATTGAATCCTTTATGAAAATGTGTGATTCAGATTACAATTATTTAGTATGTAAGCCGAAGTCTGTTTACCGCCATGCGACCATCACATACTCAACGTTGAACGTACCTTGTTTAACCCAAGTAGACGAAATCAATTTTGTTTCAATTTGGTGAATGCGCAGTTGGCGTGTGTCCTTAAATCAGTACGCCAAATTTTATTCCATCTTAATTTTTTATTCACGCAGAAAATATGTCATACCTATGAATTTCTAAATTCGTGAAAGTGGGCTTATATTGTGGAAAAACTTTTTCATTTATTATTTAGTTTAGTTGTTCGTCCCTCATATCATCAAGCAAGCATCGGAAATGTTTTCGTTCGCTATATCCTATTGAACCAAACAAGTGAATAAATGTGTTGACATTAGTCACTTAAGTGCAATTCATGTTTCAACCACTTATCAGCTATAAAAATGTAACAATTAGCTAATGCAAGCTCATATAAAGTCATTAAATATTCACTATGCTTTCCCGTAATTCATGCAGGTGATTTAAGTTTGCTTAAAAGTATTGTTTTGGTCAAATTAGAATTAAGCGTGGTGTGTGCGATAGACTTAACTTCATGTGCATCCTGGGCAACGTATACTCATAGGACAAAAAAGTTTATTAACCGGCAGTTGACTTCTGACTTCAAACTACCATCACCCCACTGTATGTCATTCTACTACTTCCACAGTACTCACCTCACCTTTTTTCTACCTTTGTGTCTGTCTCTTTTACATTTTTGAGACACTCTGCTGTTCCCTCCCCCCCTCTCTACTTTTTTTCACTTTGATGTTCCTTCCTCTCTGTGAAGCCTGAAGTCAACTAAAGGGCTGATGATAACTATCAAAACGCCTGCCATTTGATATAAATAAATATTTCCATTAGTATAATCGTTGGAAATATATCTAATGCTATAGGCTAGAAACTTAATCCAAAGAGCGTTTTGGGGATAGTTCAATCAAC